CAAATGCATGTATTTTTAAACAAGTGCAGCTTTTTCCTCGTCTTTGTATGAGCATTGTATTTACAACATAAAAGACACAACCAAGTGCTAAATCTTTGTTTTCCTATTTTATCTTATGAATGGAAATACTCTTTTCCAGGCTTGACCTTATAAATCCTGAGGATTCACTCACACTCATGTTATTGTTCAGTCAGAGTTTTGTATAGTAAAAAGATAATGTATGTTGAGCCACAGTGTGGGCGGCAGAACAAGCACACAGACAGCATGTACACACAGCAGAGCCCTTAGATGTGAACAAATGAGTGGTAAATAAATCTATTAAAAGCCCGGGCGTGTCGACGGCCGCTCAAAATCAGACCCAGCTCAGTATTTGAAATCCGCCTGTATATTGAATTACTCCCACACCAACTTATCAGCAGGGATCAGAGGTGAGCTGTCGTTCCCTGCGCTGTTTGCTTTGCATGCTTGTCTTCAGCTGTGACAGGGTCAGAGTCCCCTGATCGCTGAGACGAATAATTGCGTGCTTTTTAATTTGATCCTCCGTGGTTCTGTGCACATCAGAGGCTGTGCTGGGCGGAGAGGGAGCAGGGAGGGAGTGGAAAACGCACTCAGCCAGAAAGCCTCTGACAGAGTACACAATACAAACACGCTGAGATTCAAGGGAAGGGATGGTATCAGTTGCAAAATGTGTCAAAGGCAGACACACCGCAGACAGGAGACGTGTGAAACATACTGGTCAGCATGTGGACATGAGTGAGCTTCGTCAGGACTTGGACAGGAGCAAATTTATGTTTTGGCTTTTACATCTTCTTTCTGAAATGTGTGGTTGGACGATTTCATGTCACATTTGGAGCGTCGTGCTGCAGCAGCACAGGAAGCTTCAACAGTGCCATGTGCTGTGGTGCGAGAAAGACAAATGATGTGCAGAACAATACTTCTGCACATCCCAAAGAGGTTAGCTACAGGAGCGTGATGATTCAGTGATCGACTGACACCACAGATCAAGAGCAATTTAGAGTCGCACAAAGTTACAGTTGTATCACATCAGCTATAAGTGAGACGACATCTACAT